TATATATATATAATCCTTCAAATCTTTACAACTGTGTACAACCTTTTACTGCTCCTTTCGCATTTTGTTCTGCTTCAGCTTCCTTGTGCAAATTTTAACTTTTTTCAGCTATTGTCAGCTAATTCTAGCTGTTTTTTTTCAGCTGTTTTGTGCTCCTTTCAGATTCTTTCTGCTACTTTCAGCTTGTTATGCTCATTTCAGCTTATTTCTGCAAGTTTCAGCATTTTCTGCTATTCAGTTACTATTTGGCTGTTTGTATGCTAATTTAAGCTTTTTCAACTAATTCCACATTCCACATTTTTTTTGTACTCATTTCAACTTTTTTGAGCCCAATTCAGTAAAAATATGCTTTCTCCACTTATAATTTCAGCTGCTTTCTGCTTTTTAGCTACTTTTCAGCTTTTTTTTTTTTTTTTTGCTAATTACTGTTTTTTCCATATGATTTCCATTTTTTGTGCTCATTTCTGCTTCTTTCAGCCTAATTGGGCAAACATGTTCTTTCTGCTTTTTATGCTAATTTAAGCTAACTCCACCTTTTCAGCTACATTTTCAGCATATTTTAGCTAATTTCAGCTGTTTTCAGATAAATTCAAGGTTTCCATTGTAATTTCTCCTACTTTCAGGCAAATTAATTTCTTTATGCCAATTTCAGCTTGTTGTGCTTGTTTAAGCTTTTTTCTACTATTTTAGCTACTATTTAGCTGTCTTATGCTAATTATTTGCTTTTTCACCTAATTCCACCTTTTTTAGACTTATTTCAGCTCTTTCCACTTCTGTTAGTTTAAACTTCTTTCAGCCTTTTCAGCTACTTTTCAGCAATTTTTTTTCTAATTTCAGCAATTTTAGCTAATTTTCTAATTGTTATGCTCATTTCTGCTTATTTAAACTTAACTCAGCAAATATGTGTGTTCTTTCTGCTTTCTTCTGCAACTTTAGGCTAGTTCTTCATTTCAGCTACATTTCAGCATGTTTTAAGCTACTTTCAGCTGATTTTCAACAAGTTCTTGTGCAATAAGTATTCACACTGCATTTTCCCAGGAAATGCAATTTCTCAAGTTAAGATTGCGTGGATACCCCGGTGGTTTTAATGTTGGGGCTGATCTGTCAGATCTGATTGCTTGGACACGTAGTTCTCATGGTCTTGCAGCATAAAGCTTCATCATCATTTTGACCTAAACAAGGTTTTACTTTTTAACTTTAGGCTAAAAAAGTCTCTCATGGAGAAGAAGAAAGTTGAGGGCTCGCTGAAGGATCTTCAGGAGTCTTTGCTTTCCACAAAGACGGAAAAGGCAGCGTCTGACGACCTTTCCTTAAAAGAGGTAATTCACATCGCAGTCAAGAAGCAGAGCAATTATTCTCCACCTGTGGGTGAAATTCAGGGGCTCGTCTCTTTTGTAGTAGAGCAGCATGAGCTTTATGTTGTTCCTTTTTTAGTTTTTTTTTTCTTTGTTCGGTTTTCCTGCAGACAACCACTCGTGTGATCACATGATTATGCACACTGACACAATCCTCTCACTCACACGCTCATCTTATTCATCTCTGATTACTTTTCTTAAGGAGCTTCGCCGTTGCCATGACGATCTGAAGCGAACCCGCGCCGATCTGGACAAACAAAGGGGCGAGATAGACGAGAAAAACGGGGCACTCGAAGCCCTGAAGTGGGCGAGCGAAGGGAAGGAGGCCGAGCTTCTGTCGAAGATTAGTGAGTTGAAGGAGAAGCTGAAGAAAGACGCAGCTGAGCTGGAAAAGGCACTCGAGAAGGCGAAGGAGGTGAAGAATCATCGAGTTTCTATAGGAAACAAATGACTTAAATGATACGAACGGTTTCAAATAAAGGAACACCTCAAGTGTTTGCCAGGAAGCATTACAATGTGCAGCTATAATGACCAAAACAACAGCTGCACTTATTTCGGTCTGTTCTGATCCACTCCCCTCTGCAGTCATCAGCTGGGTTTGCAGGAAGGACGGTGGTGGACCACAGCACCAGCCTGGAGCTGCAGGAAGAAAACACTCGCCTCAGAGACAGGCTGGCCCGCATGGTACTGTCCCCATAGAACACAAAATCCTGTGTATACACACAGGCATGCAAAATCATGCAAACACAAATACTGTAGAAAACAAAGGCGGTCCTCCCACACACGCTCCATTTTCAACCAAGAAACGTGAAGTAAAAAAAAAAGTATGTTCCAAAAATAATCCCACTGAGATGAATTTACATCATTCTTTGTGTTTACGGCAACAGATTACAGTTGTTTAACCCTTAATCTATAATTTGTGGGAATAAATGCTCGTGCAAATTGGTCAGCTTGATGGGAATATAAATAGTCAGCGAAAGAGAAGTTTCTTTTGTCAGAACTGGACTTCAGACCTTGCATGATCTGCTTTTACTCCATTTACATGCTAACCACAGATACCCATACAAATGACTAAAGAGCAAACGTTAAAACAGATAGGTTTGTTTTTTCCTTGAAGATGTTCGTTAGTTTAGGTCTAACATTCTAAAGTAAAACATGCAGCTCAATTGGGATTACTGGGCTGTGACTTATGGTTGCAGTATATTGTGCAACATAGACAAAATGTAGAGAAGAAATTTGATGGATATCAATTTTTGGTGGATCAGATAAGAAAATCCAGTCTTTTTAGGAGCTCCACAACTCAGAAATACTTCCCAGTAGAAACATAATTAAAAGTTTCAACAGCTCACAGAAAGTTGGGCTTTAACCAGGGCTTAATTTGAGCCCGATCCTGCTGGAATAGGATCCGGGAACTCTCTTATTTTGACAGGGTGCGTTCCGGTAAATGTTTGCTTGGATCCGGTAACTCTCAGGCTTACTAATAATAAAGTTATGAACAAATTTTACTGCCTTGAACAAATAAAACCTTCAATTCACACAAGGAGAGCTGTTGGTCAGGCTACTTCTTGTTGCTCTCTAAAATAGTTATTGAATCAAGTGTTTACAAATGTAGGTAAATGTAGATGTTTAATAACTTGTTAAAATACACCAGAATGCAGGAAATGGCATCTATATTATTCAGAATTTTCTGGAGGATGACCCCCCACATACACAAACACTGTTTGCATTCCGGTATCATTTGGTTTACAAATAAAGCACTGACTTTAAGTGCCTGAATTGGCACCTTTATATTATTTATAATTCTTTGACAATCCCAGTTTAGATTTTATGATTTTAGAGCAGAGGCTGTTTGAGGCTTGCTTTTTAGTCTGTTGCTGTTTGCCTCTCTGAAGTGTATGGTTGCCACTGTGATCATATTGAGCCATTGGCAACAGCTTTAAGATTTATTTTGATCTTTGTTCTCTTTAAACTTCCTGTGCAGTTCACACATCAAAATATATAATTTTTATGTTCTTAGATTATTTCAAAGGTATTTGGGGATTTTGTGCTGCACTTACTTTACTTTTCTCCTAGACTTTTAGTTTTGAGCCACGGTTCTGATCATTTTAGATTTTAGCTACTTTTAGTTTACATTCTGCTACATTTAGCTAACATTTTGTTGTTTTAAAAACTTTTAGCCAACCTTTATTTAGTTTTTAGCTACTATCTAGCCTTTTGACATTTTAAATAAACGTTTTTATACTGTTTGCTAATTTTAGCTTTTCTCTGTATTCTGCTGCTTTTAACTTTTAGCCAACCTTTTGATACTTTGTTAAATGCTTTTAGCTACCCCTTAGAATTTTGTAGTTTTTAGCTACATTCTACCATATTTAAACATTTTATTATTTTTAGCAGCTAGCTAACATTTTGATATTTTTAGTAAACATTTTGCCACTTTTAGCTAGCTTTTTAAAACTTTCAGCAAGCCCTTTGCTATTTTAGCTTTTCTCAACATTCTACTTTTTAGCCTTTGCCAACTTTTAATATTTTTAGCTACTAGCTAACCTTGTCATACAGCTTTTTTTTAATGATGGGTTCTTGTTTAGACGAGGCTTCATTCCAGCGTGCCACAGAGCTCCGATGCCGAGGAGGAGCTGGAAGCTCTGGAAGGGGAGAACCGCTCCCTGAAAGCTCAGCTGGAGGAGGCCAAGAGAGGTACCACCCGCCTGGGCAAAGAGAGGGACGAGCTGAGCCGGCGGCTGGAGGAGCGAGACCTGGAGAGGGAGGCCCTGAAAAGGAGCAAAAACGATCTGGAGGAGCAGAAGAGGCTGCTGGACCGAGCGGTCGAGAAGCTGAACAAGGAGGTGCGAGAGCGGGAGGGTCATCCATAGGTCTGCTAGATGAGAAGCTGCCGTCAACTTCAGCCCTCTTCCTGTTGCTTCCTCTCGCAGATGGAGGCGATGATGGGGGATTCTCGTCAGTCGGTGGCCAGCCTGCAGTCGCAGCTCGACGAGTTCAGGGAGCGATCGAGGAAGGACCTGCTGGAGGCGCAGAGGAACAGCAAGGACAGGCTCGCTGAGCTGCAGAGGGCTCAGAATACTCTCAAGGCCCAGCAAGAAGAGGTGAGGCCCAACATCATCTTGTAGTTTTGTATTAAATAACTTTTTATTTTACAAGTTTCTTCCCTGGGAGGTTAAATATGCATAAAGTAAAATGACAACTTAATAATTCAAACCAATCATTTAAATTCTATATTTGACTGAAAATAGTGCAAATATATTTTTTTTTAAGTTTAAATATTTTTAGAACATTTATTGAATTTGATGCCCTCGTGGATTTTTAAAGAGGACAGCCTTACATCTGTGTTGCATCACTTCCTCTCCCTAACACACTTCAAGAGTTTCACAACTGACACCACAATTTACTTTAGTCTTAAAAAGTGAAATATTTTCATGTTGCTTGATGTCCGTTTTCAGCAGCACCTTTCAGATTTTTATCAGGTTTCGTTCAGTTTGAGTTGTACTGACCAAAACTCAAGGTTCTTTTTTTGTGTGTCTCGAAACAAAAACGTTAGAAACTACAGAAATTGCATTTCCTGAGAAAATGCAGTTGGAATGCTTATTGCTGAAGAATTTGCAGAAAAATAGCTGAAACGAGCAAACGATAGCGGAAAAGTAGCTGAAAAGGCAAAAAGAAATGTAAACTAGCAGAAAATAGCTGAAAGGAGCCAACAGAAGTTAGATAGGCTGAAAGTAGCAGAAATTACCACAAAAATCTTGAATCTATCTGAAAACAGCTGAAATTAGCTAAAAATGCTAACAAGTTAGCTGAAAAGTTAGAACAAGCTTAAAGTAGCAGAAGAAAGCAGAAAAACACGTTTGCCCAATTAGGCTGAAAGAAGCAGAAATGAGCACTAAAACGTGGAAGATAGCTGAAAAAAAGCAGGAAAAAAACAGCTGAAATGTAGCTAAAAAGCAGAAAGAAGCTTAAGTTACTAGAAAGAAGTGGAGAGAGCACATTTTTTCTGAAATATATTGAAAAAACTTTACATGAGTGCAAAACGTGGAATTAGCTGAAAATGCTAAAATTAGCGTAAAACATCTTAAATGCAGAAACTTGCAGAATTAAGCTGAAAGGAGCATAACAATCTGAAATCATCAGAAAGAAGTAAGAAGCACAAAAATGTTGTAGTTAACTGAATGAATCTGAACGGAGCACATAACAGCTGAAAAAATCAACTGAAAGTAGCTGAAAAAAATGTTTACATTTGCACAAGAAAGATGAGAAAAGCTGAACCAGAACAAAATGTGAAAGGAAAATGTTGTAAACAGATCTAAAGATTTGAAGGATGTAAAATTAGCTCAATTCATTTTATGTGAGGAAATAAAATGGTAGAAAAGGCTAAATATTTCAAAAAGCTAAAGTTGCACCAATACTTCATGGCAGGATTGTCCTGAAAGAGCTGAACACTTTGATATGATTTGTTGAAATAGCACAAAAACTGTAGAGCGAGAAAGATGCCAAAAAACTTACAGTATTGGGAAAGATACTGCCAATAATAAATATATAACAATAATAATAATAAACAGGATCACAGTAGTGTGAATGCTTCATAAGCTTTCACACAATAAAGAAGAGGGAGTACTTAAAATGTACTACGACACCACGAGAGCACACATTTTCTTCAGGTTGCTCAGTGACATTCTGTAAATTTTCTATAAATATGTTTTTCAGGTATCTCGTCTGAAGAAGGAGCTGCTGGCGTGCAGCGAGGAGAGGGACGGCGCTCAGCTGGAGAGGGACCTCCTCAACAACCGCCTCAAGCATTTGGAGGGCGAACTGGAGTCTGAGAAGAACACGCACACCGACCGCGGCCGGGAGATCCGAATCCTGGAGGTGAGACCTCTAGGGTCAAAGGTCACGACTGTGTGACTGCGACTATATCGGGGTTACACGAATGGCTCCACGACTAAAAATAGTTGAGACGTGTGTGAGGCTGCGGCTGAAAGAAGCTAATCTGAAGAAACTAGTTCTAAGACTCAGTGTTTACAGGATAAAGTTAAAACTCTGGAGATGGAGCTGGATGAGGAGAAAAGCAGCGCGGAGCTTCTGAACGACCGCATAAACCGAAGCAGAGATCAGGTGCAGCGTCGTAATGTTTAAACTCGCACCGGACAGGAAGCTCTGAGCTCTGACCGGTTTTTCTCCTCCAGGTGGACCAGCTTCGATCGGAGCTGATGCAGGAGCGCTCAGCGAGACACGACCTGGAGATGGACAAGAGCGCGCTGGAGCGACAGGTCCTCGCAGAGACGATTAAAACATCTTCCCGTCAAATCTCGTTTTAACGCCCATCCGTCCGTCCCGCCGCAGGTGAAGGAGCTAAAGACCCGCGTGGCCGACATGGAGGGACAGAGCCGACCCTCGGCTGGACTCGCCCTGCTGGAGAAGAAGATTCAGGAGCTGGAGGAGAGGCTACGCAGTGAAGAACGGTGCGATGGCAACAGAATAACATTCTTCAGACTTTTTATTGTTTTCAAGCGAGGTTTGAAAACTAGTTTAAGATTAAAACATTTATTATCGATGAAACGATCACAAAGAAACGAACGTATCACAAATTGTGGATCAGGTTCTTAAAGCTGAGGTGTTCCAAACTAAACGAAGCAAAACTAAACAGGGAGGAGACTCGATGTTCATGAACGAAGGTCACAACATGCGATGGGGAGGTGTCGAGACAGAAAACTTTTTCAATGAACAAATGATTCAGATGTTTAAAATCATAAGACACAATGGAACTGAAGAACAGATCAGTTTTGAACTGGATTATTGTAATAGTGTGAATACTTATGAAGCATTCACACTATTGTGATCCATTTTTCTTTCGTATGTTTTTCTGCATCTTTCTCATTCCGTAGTTTTTGTGCTATTTCAACAAATCATATATAAAAAGATTCAGCTCGTCCAGTAGAAGGGTGCTTTGACATTTGGTATTGGTGCAACTTTAGCTTTTTGAAATATTTAGCCTTTTCTGTATTTTTTTTCCTCATAGAAAATGCATTGAGCTCATTATCCATCCTTCAAACCTTTAGATCTGTTTACAACCTTTTCCTGCTCCTTTCACATTTTGTTCTGGTTCAGCTTCTTTCAGCTTCCTTGTGCAAATTATAATATTTTTTAAAAAAATCAGCAGGATCACAAAACAGCTGAAAAAACAGCTGAAATTAAGTAGCTAACTATTACATTTTTGTGCTTCTTCTAACTTTCTGCTAATTTCAACTGATTGTGCTCCTTTCAGCTTATTTATTTGTTTCAGCCTTTTTTTTTTTTTTTTTTTTTGCTATTTCAGCTACTTTTTAGCTGTTTTATACTAATATTAGCTTTTTTGACTAATTCAACATTTTTGCACTCATTTAAACTTTTCTCAGCCTAATTCAGCAAAAATGTGCCCTCTCCACTTCCTTCTGGTAATTTAAGCTTCTTTCTGATTTTAGCTACTTTTCAGCTGTTTTTTGTTGTTGCAAATTTCTGCTTTTTTCAGATAATTTCCAATTTTTTGTGCTGCTTTTTTCAGCAAAATTGGAAAAGCGTGCTCTTTCTGCTTTCTTCTGATAATTTAGGCTTCTTCTACCTTTTTCAGCTACATTTTTAGCATTTTTAAAAGATCATTTTGGCTGTTTTCAGAGCAATTCAAGTTTTTTGTGGTAATTTCACAATTTTTTTTCAAATTTCAGCCTAATTAACTTTTCTCTGCTAATTTAAGCTCGTTATGCTCCTTTCCAGATATTTCTGCTACTTTCAGCTTTTTCTGGTATTTCAGCTACTATTTTAGCTGTTTTTTTATGCTACCAGTAATTAATATTTTTCAGCTAATTCCTCATTTTTGGGGCTCATTTCAGCTCTTTATGCTTCCTTCTGGGAGTTTAAGCTTCTTTATGCCTTTTCAACTACTTTCAGCTTTTTTGTTGTTGTTGCTAATTTAAGCTTTTTTTTTTTTTTTTTTTTTTTACAACTTTACAATTTTTTATTGTAATTTCTGCTTTGTAAAATCTAATTCCACAAATATGTGTTCTTTCTGCTTTCTTCTACTACCTTAAACTTGTTCTTCCATTTCAGCTACATTTCAGAATGTTTTTAGCTAATTTCAGCTGTTTTTCAGCAAGTTCTTCTGCAATAAATATTCACTGCATTTTCACAAGAAATGCAGTTTCTCTAGTTTAAGTTTAAGTTTTTTTTTGTGACCATGCAGTTTTTTACGGTTTAAATCACACAAAAATAGAAACAATAAAAATAATCTGAGGCAAATAACAATTAAAAAGTGATTATTACGGTTAGTAAATTCTGATCTTTTAATGTTTTAGTCTGAGTGAGATAATTTGTTGAATTAAAGATTAAAAATGGACTAACCTGACACAAAACTGTATATGAAACGGTTTAAATAAAGTTTTAAATGTCATAAAGTCGCGTTGCTTTAAATAATTTAATGACATCAGCCCAACAGCTAGTTTTTATGTGCTCGCAACAAATCTTCCAAAATACCATGTTTTAGGTTTGTGCACCCAGAAATTCTTGAAAATGTTTGAAAATGTCTTCAACGCAGAGAGAAGTCGAGCATCCAGGCGTCCCAGAGACGAATGGAGAGAAAAGTGAAGGAGCTGAACGCCACTTTGGACCAGGAGAGGAGCCAGCATGTCGAGCAGAGGGATCAGGTAGGTGTCACGATCTGCATCACTTTAGGTCTTTTATTTGTTTATTTACTTGTTTGTTTTCAGTCCAATTTTTTTGGGCTCTTACTTGAAACATTTATTTCTCTAACGATGATGATGTTTGGCCTTCACCTGCTCTTTATTCATTAACTTTAAACTTTAAAAAAAAAAATTATAACCAGATCTATGTTCTTCCTGACCCACACCAAACCTCACTCGATACACAGATTGACCCCTGACCCCCCCAGCTCCTACAATATTTCATTACAGCCAGACCCCCTCACCCCCACCCAGATATCCCTGATCAGGCCTTTAAACTCCTCTCCCATAGCAGCCCTCGTCCTCACCTCTGACCCCCTGCCTTCTCCTCAGCTGACCCTTCGCGTCAAGGCCCTGAAACGGCAGGTGGACGAGAGCGAGGGGGAGGTGGAGCGCTTGGAGGGTGTGCGCCGTAAACTCCTCAGGGACCTGGAGGAGCAGCAGGAGCTCCAGGAAGCAGGGCGAGCTAAAGTCTCAGCACTGGAGAGCGAGCTGAAGTAAGTCTTCCATCAGTTCACTGAAAGCCTTTTCAAATTAAAAGTCTAGTCGTTAGTTGAAGGAATTCATAAAGCCTTTTCAAATTAAAAGTCTAGTCGTTGAAGGAATGCATAAAGCCTTTTCAAATTAAAAGTCTAGTCATTGAAGGAATGCGTAAATCCTTTTCAAATTAAAAGTCTAGTCGTTAGTTGAAGGAATGCATAAATCCTTTTCAAATTAAAAGACTTGTCGTTAGTTGAATGAATACATTAAGCCTTTTCAAATTAAAAGTCTAGTCGTTAGTTGAAGGAATACATAAAGCCTTTTCAAATTAAAAGTCTAGTCGTTAGTTGAAGGAATACATAAATCCTTTTCAAATTAAAAGTCTAGTCGTTAGTTGAAGCATTTTGCCCGCTGTCTTTCAGGACAGACCTTCAAAGTAAAATCACCTTATTCTGAGAAGAACTGTAGTTGCAGCTGTCTGTAAAATGGACTGAGCTTTACCTCTTTGTGTTGGCTAAATTAGATTAGCTGTGGCGGCCATATTGAACTGGGTCGGCTCCAGATGTTAAGGAGTTTTAGATGCAGAGCCCACGACTGCACTCTGAAAGTTTCGTCCAAATGTGTCTCGTGGTTCATGAAATATTTTGCTAACAGAGTTGATGCCAACACTTAATGCTTTGCGACACTAGATGGCGCTCTTTAGCTGAAAACATGCGAGCAGCTGTTTGACCCTCAAAGTGGATTGTTCTGTTTCTTTTCAGGAGGAAGTCTCAGCAGACTCACCGCGCCGCTCTGACCTCCTCCGCTTTGAGCTCTGACGAAGAAGACGAAGCGACATCGCCTCCGTCCTGAGCGAGACGGAAGAGACGAGCACAAGAAGATCCAGGAGGGGGAGTTTCAGTCACACTGGGCTTTTATTTTTAGTCAAACTGAGACAACTTGTCAGGATTATTAGTTCTTTTAAAATGTTCTGCTGTGATTTTTCTTAATGTAGTAACAAAAGACAACAGGATTTTATCCCTAGTTGCCGATCACTGTGGTTTGTGTTTTAAAAGACTTTTCGTTGTTTGTTGCGCAGCACGTTCAGTAGATTTCACATCTCAACCAAAGAAATCCCACTAAATATAATCTGTACGTTTTTGCATGATAATTTATTCCTTTTAGCAGCTCTAAACGAGCAAAGTGATGTTTTGACTGTGACTATTTCTTAAATTATTTTTTTCTTACACCGTTTGTATTTCGGACAATCAGTAGCAGCGTCTTCATTATTTCCCTCGTGGTTTGATTCCCGTGCACGTCTTCACTCCGATGCCTTACAGAGAGCTTCACGTTTTCACCTCGTGCGACGATTTTAAATAATTTTTCTTCTGCTTGTCTGAACCCGTGTGTCTGCATTCCATCCAGAGGACGCATTAAGTCGTATTTATCGGCACGTTTCTCCCCTCTTGCTGCTTTTAATGAATATTGATTTGAATCCTCTGTTTTAAAGGTGTTGCTGCATTTTAGGAGCGTAAAGATGTGGTAAAATTAAAAATGTGTTGCGTTTGACTTGCGCCGCAGAGATTTGTACGGTTTTTTTTTGTTGTTTGTTTTTTTTGGACAGAAACTTTTATCACAGTTTTGGACACTGTAAAATAAAAAAAAGGAACATTTTCCTGGCTTTTGTACTTTTTCATCTGTTTTTGAGATATTTTAAGAAGTTTACAGACGGCAAATGTTTACTTTTTTACAAGCCGAAACACATTACTGTATTTTCCGAAGTATAAGTCGCATCAGTCAAAAAAAAAAAAAAGCATCACGAAGAGGAAAAAACACGAGTCGCATTTATTTAATGGTCAAAACAGCTTGATTTCACCTGGGCAGTGCCATCCATCAATCCATTCATTCATCCATCCAGCGTTCCTCCGCCTGCACCAGCTGAGTGAAGAAAGCGCTCATGGGAGGACTCGCGGTTGCAGTTCTTAGAAATTTAAAGCTTCAGTCAAAAATTGCGTCGTGAATATGGGAAAAAAAATGTATTTAAGTTGCAGGACTGACAGATCTATGCAAAAAAACTACGACTTATATGCAGAAAATACGGTAAATAACATTTAAACCTAATTTGAATAGTTTTTTATAATTTTATTAAATGACTCATAAAATGAAAGTCTGGTGGCTCTGATAATTATTATTTTCAAATATCGTCTTTGTTCACTAACTTGACGTCGCGCTTCAATTTCAAGTGTCAGGAGATGAAATCAATCCTCAGAAGTTCATCAGAAACTTGTTTCAGACCTGTCAGAGTGGATGGACCATTTCAGTCCAATGCTGACGAAATAAAGAAAAATAAATATTGTACTCTAAATTCAGGCTGCAGAAACACGTTGCACAAAAACCAACAGATATGGATGAAAAATGGAGGACGTTGCTGAAATGTTGACATGATACCTCCACCAATTAAAGCCATAAAATACGCAGAACCAGAATGTTTTCCTTGAATATTTCCATTACCCAGACAAAATGTGATGCTTGTCTGTTTAAACATGAAATATTATTCCTTCATCGTTTGGTTCCTGTCCCAGACGCTGTAGAGGCAACATGACATTCACATGACTTCAACCAGCACAGATCACCTCAAACACTGGTTTGATCAGGTTTTGTTGAATTCAAGTGAAGCTTTCCGACTAGTTTGACAATTTAGCTCACTTCCATTTATACACATTAAGTTATTAATCTGTTAGTAAGTAAACTTAAAGTTAAACAACAAAGTGATTTGCTGGTTTTCTACTTAATGCCCATCCAGATGTTGCCACAGATGTTCACATTCTGCACACACTTCAGACCTGCAGAGTACGGTACTAAACTTACCGTTGGGAAACTTATTTTTATTCCAACATAAAAGTGAAAACAGCCGATCTGCTGAGTCGACACTGGGCTTTAATGTGACACAGACTGACAGCAGAACTGGCTGTTTGATAAATAATAAAACCAACCTGAGGCGAGCTCCCACCTCTGCAGTGAGACAGAATAAAAGATCAAGACGGGCTGGCTTCTGTTCCACAAGTCAGAGGGCCTGCTGGAGATTTTACAGAACGTCAGTCGGCATCAACCGTGAGGAGACGGCCCCTAAATAAGGATTCACCCAAACTCAGCCGGGCTGCTCTTTATCTAAATATAGTCCAGGTTTTTGGTGGTTGGTGGCTTCTTTGTCTGAAAATCAAAAAGAGCACAAGAAAATCCAAATCACTTCAAGCTGTGTCTGTAAAACCCAAAGCAATGTCATTCTCATTCAGGAGGTGGGCGCGAAGGTTCAGTTTTTGTAAATGTCATACATTTTAAAATATTGAACTTAAAAAAAAAAACGGTTTCCCTTGAAGAAAAACATTGAGAGTTGTTCAGTTTCTTCATGTTGTTCTCTTTGAAATCACCTTCAGCAGACTTGCTCTAATTTTATTTTCTTATGCTTCTTGTAGTTCTGATGGTTTTCATTTAATCAAGTCTTTTGGTACTTTTGACTTAGCTTTTAGATGTTTTAGCTTTAAGCTAGTTTTTATATATTTTTAGTTTTAATCCAGCCTTTAGATACATTTAGCTTTTAGCCACCCTTTAACTACTTTTAGCTTATAGCTAGTCTTTAGATAATTTTTCCTTTCAGCCTGTCTTTTGCTACTTTTGGCCTTGGCTAGTCTTTAGATACTTTGAGCCAGCCTGTTGCTACTTTTAGGTTATAGTTAGCATTTAGATATGTTTAGCTTTCAGCCAGCCTTATGCTACATTTAGCTTATAGCTAGTCTTTAGATACTTTAGCTTTAAGTTAGTATTTTGTTACTTTTAGATTTGGCTAGTCTTTAGATACTTTGAGCCAGCCTGTTGCTTCTTTTAGGTTATAGTTAGCATTTAGATATGTTTAGCTTTCAGCCAGTCTTTTATGTTAATTTTCGCTTATAACTAATCTTTAGATGCTTTTAGCTTTCAGTTAGCATTTTTGCTACTTTTAGTTTTGGCGAATACTTTGAGCCAGCCTGTTGGTACTTTTAGGTTATAGTTAGCATTTAGATACTTTTAGCTTTCAGTTAACGTTTTGCTACTTTTGGCCTTGGCTAGTCTTTAGATACTTTGAGCCAGCCTGTTGCTACTGTTAGGTTATAGTTAGCATTTAGATACTTTTAGCTTTCAGACAGCCTTATGCTAGATTTAGCTTATAGCTAGTCTTTAGATATTTTAGCTTTAAGTTAGTATTTTGCTACTTTTAGCTTTGGCTAGTCTTTAGATACTTTGAGCCAGCCTGTTGCCACTTTTAGATTATAGTTAGCCTTTAGATGCTTTTAGCTTTCAGCCAGCCTTTTGCTACATTTAGTTTATAGCAAGTCTTTATATACTTTTAGCCAACCTTTTGCTTTTTTAAGTTATAGTTCGCCTTCAGATACTTTTAGCTTTCAGATAGTCATTTGCTATTTTTAGCTTATAGCTAATCTTACATGGTTTTTTGCTTTCAGCCAGCTTTTTGCTATTTTTAGCCTTGGCTAGTCTTTAGATGCTTTGAACCACCTTTTTGCTACATTTAGCTTATAGCTAGTCTTTAGATAATTTTAGCTAGCCTTTGGTTACTTTGAGGTTATAGTTAGCCTTCAGATATATTTAGCTTTCAGTCAGCCTTTTGCTGCTTTTAGCTTATAGCTAGTCTTTTGCTAAAAGTATCTAGTCTTTTGCTCCTTTTTAGCTTATACGTAGTTAACCTTCAGCTACTTTTTGCTTTCAGGCAGTTTTTTGCTGCTTTAGCTAACATTTTGTTTCTTATATTTAATATTCAATAAAAGTGTAGAGATTGGAGTAATTTTTAAGACAAACACAATCCACTTTGGTTTTGGTCCTGCTAGCTTTTAGCTTGTTAGTACTGTCAGAATTTAGCTGTTTCTCCAAACTGAGGTTGCTGAAAGAGCTATCTGCAACAGGTAAGATGTTACTTGTTCATAGCCTTTCCGCAGAATTCCATTTCGAAAGATCTGAACTATTCTTCAGCCAAAGTATTAAAAATAATCACAGACTGTGACAGAAAGAAAATCCAACTTAAAAAAAAAAATCAGTTCATAAACCGAAAAACCCACAAAACAAAAAAAAACCTTTAAAATTAGATAAAGTCCAATTAAAACATCAGCCCACAACATACTTGTTCTTATGTTTTGCTCTTTTGGCTGCATTGTCCCAGAGAGCATGTAAAATAACTTAGCGATGTGTTTTATTTTTAGCTCCAGATAAGTTTCTCCTGTCCAGACAGAGTCTGTAATCCTTAGAAGGTTTACCGTAATTACAGAAGACATCAATCTGTAGCTCCTCCTCTTCCACTCCTCTGACTGCAGGGTTTCCTTTGTTAAGGCTTCTGTTGTCTTTTATTACTTTGTCTATGTATTTAGTCATTCTGGTTTAAATGGTTGTACTTTAGTTAAAATAATTATAATGCAAATCCTATAATCAGTGGTTTGGGATTGCATCTGTGTGCTGAGAACTGTGTTACTTTACAAAGCACTTATTCTTTTTTAATATCCATAGCAGCCATCTTTTAACATCGTCAATATTCAGCTTTATCCTAAAAAATCATTTTGAAATGACAGTTGATGTACAAAGGACAAGTGAGCCTTTTGGTTTTGAAAAACAAAGATCCAAACCAAGGTCATACAGCGTACAAATGATCTGACAGCAGCTAAACAATGTTCGAGTTGTTTGCTTTGGGTTGGTACTTTAAAAATGAGCTTCCTTTAGAATTTGTGCCATTTTTACACGTCTATTCAACCCTGGATGTTCGTCACACAAAGCAGACAAGCTGTATTTACTAGTTATTGTGTTGCAGTGATGCAGATAGAGTGGCTGCTTTTATATGGGTGTCATGGTACAAATAACTCGAAATAATGAACAGACCGGAGACTAAAATAAAGACGGAGCGCTGAATTATGTGATGTTAGCCACAGCGGAAGAACACTGCAGTAGAAACATTAAGTGGGATTATAGTCTGGGGATTTTATTCAACACACCTGTCTGATGGAAAGTTAAAATAAATTAAAGGTTTTTGACCTTATAATATCACATATAGGATATTTGTACTTGCATTTACTTTAAATTTTATTTACAAACGTTTTCCTTATATTGAGTTCATTTTTATTTTTTCAAAGTATGTCTTTGAAATCTGATTTCGCTCCTATTAGTGTTTACCATTCTGCTACTTTTAGTCTTGAAGTCACTTTTAGCTTATAGCTGCTACTTTTAGCTTTTAGCTATTGTCCTGCTATTTTTAGCTTGTAGCAAATGTATTTTCAATTTCAGCTTTTAGTTAGCTTAGCTACTTCTAACATTTAGTCAACCATTTAATACTTGACATACGAGTTAAAGTTAAAATATTAGTTTCTAACAATTATTCTGATATGTTTATAGGTAGCATTTTGTTACTTTAAGCTTTTAGCTAGCTTTTACTTTTATCTACAGTTTTGCTAAAGTAGCGGCTGTTCTTTTAGCTTTAGACTGGCTAAAAGCTACTTTTAGCTTTTATCAAGCTTTTTGCTATTTTTAGTTTGAAGCTAACATTGATCGTGTTAGGTTTTAGCTAGCATTGCAGCTTTTATTTCTTCTTTTTGTTACATTTAGCTATTTTTTTTATTCCATTTACTGTACCTACTGTTCTGCTACTTTTAGCAGAAATGTAGCTACTGTTTATTTTATTTTATTTTTTACTTTAGAGTCAAATTCTACTTTTAGGTGCTGCTCAGGGTGGCTGCATGTTGGGGTAGCTCTATTACCTTCAGAAAAAAGGTGGTTTCTACAACCAGGAGCAGATGATTAACATATCAAAAGTTCAAATCCTATCTCAGCTACAGCCCCAAATCTCAAATGAGTTGAAAAGGAGGCTCTGTAGATGCATTCCCATCTCCCCGGCTGTGCTCGAGTGCCTGACCACTGAGATCCTGGAACTGGCAGGAAACATGCTTATGACAGTAGAAGGACCAAGATCGTCCCCTGGCACCTGCAGCAAGCTGTTCGCAGCGACGAGGCGCTCAGCGGGCTGCTGGGAGGAGTGGCCATCGCTCTGGGAGGAGTTCTGCTGGGCATTTGAGTGATCCTGCAACACGTGGTAATCAAAGGTCGGCCAAGTCTGGGTGGACGGATCGGACAGCATCTGCGACCAGTTTCTTCGGATCTGCTGGACGGACCTTTCTGAGATCCTTCCTGCCTACAGCCATCAGTATCTATAACATCTCTTAATGAAATGAGGATAATGAGTTACAACGTTTAATTTCCTTTTGGGATTAATAAAGTATTTTTGAATTGAATTGAATATTTTGTTAATGTGGTTTAGGCAGCATTTTTGCTGCTTTCAGCTGATCTTTTTGTTACTTTTGGCCAGGCTTGTAGTACTTGTAGCTAATGAGTTAATACATTTAGCATTTAGATAGCATTTGTAACTTTCATCCATCCATTATCTTTTTCCGCTTCTTTCTTTCACGAGGGTTGCTGGTGCCCACATCCAGTTGTTTTGGGTTTGGGCTGGCTAAGCTACTTTTGGCTTTTAGCTAGTGTTCTGTTTGTTTTTGCTTTGACGACTCAGTTTCAGCTTCTTCAGCATCTTTCAGCAGTCATTCTGCGCTCAACATTTGCTCTGCATTTTAACAAAATGCAGTTCCTTCAGTTGATCTAATATTAAACTGTGTTTTCACACATTGTCACAGCTACTGTCAGATGTTAAAACACATCTCTGGGCTGAGAGTGTCGCAGACCTTCAGGCCATGAGCCGCTAAAGTTGAACAAGTTCACCCAGAGGCCTTACGGAAGCTTTCAATGAGTAGCAGTGCTGTTATCAAACAGGACTAGATCCTATTTAAAGGGCAGACACAGAATTAGCTGCAGCATAGAGAAAGCTGCAGGCTGCAAATCTCAAAGCTCATGATGGTTTGAAGGAAAAGGAAGATGAGAAAAGTTTGTTGGGAGAAGGCAAAAGAAGAGAGGCGTCAGATGGGATCCTTGTGGAGGAAGATCAGGCAGCCGACCAAGTCCAAAAAGCTGTGGTTCAACTCTGAATGTCTGCAGGAGAGACACGTCATCGACTTCTCTGAGGTCAGACACGGTTCAGGTGGACCGATCATGAAACTAGCTGGAGAAATTACATTTATGAGTGAATGCTGATTATTGGATGCTTTTGCTGAAATTGGCTCGTTTGTTAACTGAATTGTTAAAGTTAAAACAAGCAGAAATCAGCAAATCCGTAGCTAAAAGCTAAAATTTGCTAAACTGTAGCTAAAAGCTAAAATAGGGAAAACAGTATGGACTAAATGAAGCAAGCAGTTGTCAAAAGTTATGTAGCAAAAAGCTAAATGCTGTATTGCTATATTGTTACAAATAAAAATACTTAAATATTAATATTTTAAGTATTTTTTAAAGCAAGTACTTATTTACTTTTACTCAAGTAAAAACGTTAATGTGGTAGGCTACTTCTACTTTTACTAGAGTACATTTTTTGTCTGTTTATTTGTACTTTTACTTAAGTACAGCGTTTGAGTACTTTCTCCACCACTGCTCAAAGCTGCATGTAGCAAAACTGTAGCTAAAAGGAGCATAAGACCAAAATGTACCAAGTTTGATATAGTTTAATATAGAATGTATAAAGTGATTTAAATTTTAAACAATTCAAGCAAAGAAGTAGCTATAGGAATAATGAATAAAACGTGAATGTATAGTTTTTATTAGTTTTAAGTATGATACAAAATGCTTTTTTAAATAGAACAACAGATAAATAACCACAGATATAATATAAACACATATAACACATTATGATATCTATGTAAATAACAGTTTCGCGACATCGCTATTTGATTTACGGCCCGAAATGTCTCCGGTGTGGGTGTGCTTTATTTACGCACCGCCACACACCACGGGGGCGGAGAAACCCATCGGTTCAAATAACAGGTGCCTCATCATTTCTCCTTCAGCAGATGTCTCGTTAGGGAGGTTTCAACGCCGGTTTTTGAAGAACTTTTTGTCCTGAATTTTTCGAATGCTTAATTTTTTAATTTGTTTATTTCTGACGAGAAGATGAGCGGCGTCTCGAGGCGGCCGGTTGGAAATGAAAATGGAGAGGACAGGAAGAGTAACGTAAGTGACTTTAAACGCACATATTTAATAACTAATGTCAATTAATGATCTTATTTACTGTAGTTTAGTTTTTTTTAATTTGTCAAACAGGTAAGAGTGACGAAGCAGTTTGTTTAGTACGAGCCTCTCAGACTTAAAGGTATCACTTACACACATTTGTAAAACTTATTTGTGAAAAATAAACGCTCGAAGCGTTTTTAACAAGTTTTTAGAGATTTAACAATAAATCCATTAAAGTATATGGTTCAGCTTGACGTGACATTTTTATTTGCACTTGTCAAAAGACAAATGATGGACAAATAACGCCATTTTTATGTAAATATATTGAAGATTTGTCCATTTTTAACTTAAATATTTCAGTTGCTTGATCAATATTTGTATCCAGTCTAACGCCTCAAATGAAAAAGTTTTCAAAAACACATTCTTTAAAATAATTTAGCTGTTGTGTCATTTTTTTTAAAAATGATCTTTTAATACAGAATTTGGAATTGGGAGTCCCTCAGGGGAGACAGTTTGCCAAACTTGTTGGCTTTGTCTTGTAAGTTTTTAAATAATCTTAACATAATCTGCTTTGCTATGTTTTTATTCTGTTTTAAGCATAATTTTGTCATTTATCTTGAATTATTTGCAGCTTTTCAGTGATACTGAACAATAAAGTGCCCTGAAGTGCGTATTTTGTCACACGTCAAGTCAGCTCTAACCCTGCAGGGCCAAAGCCAAATTATTTTCAGATTCTCCTACCTGACCTATGACCTTTGACCTTTGTTTGCCCTCACTTTTATCACACCCCAGATGTAATCCTCCTGCATCACCTTATGATTTAAATCTTTTTTTAGAGGCTGGCTGCGGGGTCAAAAGCACCCTAAACCATACGCTACTTAAGATGTACACATAAAATGCAATTTTTGCTACAAAGGTCAATTGAATTTTTTACTTTTAAAGTTGAATTGATTAATTTAACGAGTCTTTCTCATTGCTGGGACAGGAGACATTAAATCAACAGTTTAGGAAGAGACTCCTAAATAAATCCTCTGCTTATAAAGGAAGGTTTTGCGTTTTAAAGAGCTGGACATATTAAAGTAAAAACAAAGATGTATTTTTACTGTACTTGCTGCCGTACACGTTGTGCTGTATAAAAGTCGCATCAGTCCAAAAATGTCTAATAAAGTGGAAATAAAGATAAATAAGTCACTTCGCTGTATAAGTCGCATCTATTATGCGTCATCGCCGACAACCTGGAAGCGTGGGCCGGTGTTGTGCCAAAAATTGATTGGCTGCCAAATGGTGGCTGCGGGAGCATGCACGGGAGAACTTTAACAAGGTTAACACTTAAAAACAATTTGTTTGCTCGAAATTATAGCAAAGGTGTGTGTCTCGGTTGAACTTTTCCTTAATAAATGCACAATATTGGTCAAATCGGCTGCATTTCAAAAATCGATTCGCAGAAGCGCGCAGAGAGAGGACTCGCTGTGCATTTCTTCAAAATTTACCAAGATAGCCACCTAAAAACAATTATTTGTTTGCTCGACATTATAGTAAAGTTGTGTCTCGGATTAACTTTTTCTTCATTAATGAACTTTAATGGTCAAATCAGCTGCATTCGCCTGGGCGGTGCGGCAAAATGCAGCTGATTGTGGCTTTATGGCAAGCCGAGTATCTCATTAATAGCCACTTTTACCTATTAATGAGAGTCCTGGCTTGCTATACAGGTCTAGGGCCCTCTAGCGGCTGAAAATGGTAGTGTTCAATATTTTCCATGTCAGAATGAATGATCGTCAGATTTCAGCCAAAAATTGGTTTATAAATATGGAGGAAAAAAAAGTATATTAGTTGCTTCAGTGTATAAGTAGCAGGACTTACAAATTTATGCAAAAAGATGCAATTTATATGGTGAAAAATATGGTAATTATATCGCCAATGTAGTTGCAGTTCATGCAGACAGGTTGGTGATTTGTGACAATACGGGTGGCTAGAGGTCGACTGGTGAGTTTTTCTATCATCGATCTTTACCAATGAGGGCATTTGATGGCTGAAATACCTCCAATATTTTTATTTATTTTTGAAGAATATATAATTTTATTTAACAAAGTGTAACAGCAATTACTTGCTTTAAACATGTGTTTACCAGCTCTAAGAAGAACTCTTAGTACATTTAAAAACAGACGAGCATCCTCGTCCAAAAACTAAAATGTGAGCGTACAGGAACATTTAAAGAAATTAGAACATCGTGGAAAAGTTCAAATTTTTGTCAATCATTTCAGAAAGTGAAACTCGTATATTACATAACTTTATTACACGCGGAATGAAATATTTAAAGCTTTTATTTCTTGTAACTTTGATTATGGCTTACAGATAATAAAACCAACAACATTCAGTATCAGAACATTTATATATGACAGCCAGCTTTTAGTACCTTTGGAATACAACTGACAAAAAAAAAAAAAAAAGCTTTTTCACAATATTCTAATATTTTTAGATGCACCTGTACTCATTTGTCAGATTGCAGATTTTGTAATAAACGAGGCCAATAAAAACCTGTCGGCGGTTTAGTTGGACCTATAATCAATTAGTCCCAAATGAAGAACCTGTGTGCTCCCATTTAAAAACTAAACAACTGGTTTGTAGTCTGAGCTCACCTTTATGCCTTTGAGAATAATCTCGTGTTCGTCTGCTGTGCTGCTGAACATCTACGTGTCTATATTTTTATGTTTTAAGTGTTGGTTTTATGATGATATTAGCTCGTCTGTGAGATGAACTATAAGCGATATGCAGTCCACGGAAAGCTCTTCTGTTCATCAAACCAAAAAGCTCAAACTGATGTTCTGAAGATCTGACTCAATTGACCTCGGATGACTTTAAAAGGTAAATCTTGTACGCACTTGTTTTCCATCTGAGCGGTAAAAGTGGTAGTGACTCTTTTTTTAAAAAGAGCCAAACCAATCATAGCTTTTAGAGATTATGATTCTGCTCAAACACAACTTTGTTGTACTTTTTATGTACATTTTCCTACAAATTTTATCTAGAAATGTTAAGACGGTGACCATTCTGTCAGACTTTTATCTATTAGGGGAAAAGCGCGTGCAATCTGTATTTCTTCGAGCACTTTTATTGTTTTAGAACCTCTATTAGAAGAATATTTTGTTGCAAAAAATGTTCCCAAAACAATCAGCCTGACACGTTGGCCTGGATTATTAACCATAAATGCCACTTAAGAATGTTCCAGCACTCGTCGGTCTGGTTGTTTAAGAAAATGTTCTCTGTAAATCATCAGACGGTGCTTTCATCTCCTCGCTCATTAAATGTGAGCCAACACTTCAGTGAAGGTGCTAAAGGCTGACTGCATTTAATCAAAGTGGCAAATGTTGGAGAAACTTTGCCAAATAAAGGATTAAATGTTGCTTAACCTTCTGTAATAGTTAAATGACGCCTATTGTTTACTTTCATGATGCTACAAGTAAGAATGTAGTCGTGACTGAACAGATGATTTGTTTATATAGATCTGTTTTATAGATATACGGACAAATTCCTTGGAAAGAATAAAGAGCTGCATGAATGATTGAAATTAGCATTTGCCTTGTATGCCAAAGTCTTGACATGTTTGTTAGAGTATGTGGGGATGACTCTCAGCTACTACCACACCAAATTGTAGCTCAGTATCTATAACATTGACTGAGCTATAGATAATTTTGTGCTTTCTAGTGTTGCTTAGCTGCAGCAGCCATCTCTGAATCAAGTAGCCTCCCAAACAGTAGAAGCACATTCAGTTTCATTGAAATCTGCTCTGTAGATTGAGATGTTTTGCTAACAGACATACATTTTCATGAGGAAAACCAATCTAATTTCAAACAAGATTTAAAATGGACCCCCATCGTGACAGACGCTAATAAACTGTCACAGTGTGAGAACGAGCTGAGAGCAGCTCTTATTTTCCAGTGAGGCTTGTTATTACGACAGCTTAGCTGGATTGTGGTGTTTTCTGTCAACTCAGCTGTGAAGATCAGCTGAAGGCCTTTCCTGTATGACACAAACATTCTTAAATGGCAGGTGTGCACTGCCCCTCATCGCTTCCAACGCATTCAGGTCGCTGAGAAATTAAAAGGTGTTCACGCTACACGTCTACAAACTGAGAGGAAGCTAGAACGTAAAATACAAAAATGGCCTGGTTCAAATTAAAGGCTTTTATCATGTTTCGAGCTTTAAAAATAAAACAAATAAATGAAATAAATTGTTCAGGCATGGGGCATTTTATGTTATAGAGCTTGAGATTTTGTCACAGCGTGTGGGCGTGGCTTGACCTCAAACTTTGACTTCTCGCCAAAATAAAGTTGTTGCAACTCGGTCATAAAAATCTGATCTGTAATTAACAGTAATACTTACATATTACTTAACTAAACAGTAACAGGAAGATGTTCATTGGAGACAAAGTGCTTTAAAATAAAAAAAATAAAAAACATTAATTCACGTGAAACATTACATATTCTGAAATTCTGGTTAAATATTTAGTCTTTTATGACAATAAATGTTGTTACATGCATATACATATACATGTTGAGCTGTTATCAGTTCATATGCATGTAATAAATATTTAAATGCATGTATATGTTCATATCCATGTGAAAACTATTCACGTAAAATGTAAATCTAACACAAAGGATGTATATTTAGACACACAAACTGGGACAAACATGCCCATATTTGGCCTGTTCAGTCTTGGACTCTTTGTTTGCACAGTTTTATTTATTTTGCACACATTCACCGTGCCAGTAGCAGTTGTATAAAAACGCATCATTAATCTGTCTTATATAACCAGGACGACACATTCCTCAGAGTGCTGCTACCTACCAGTGTCACCGTGAGGCAGATAAATGAGGCCTTCTGTGGTTTTATTCCCTCAACAGTGACCGATGAGACAGTTTCTTAGTTCACTACTACTGACTTAAACAATGTACATTTAACTTTCAGTGATTAAATGTGTTTGATAATAGATTACCCAAATAACT